CCTAATATGCTTAATTGGTAGTAGGCTTTCGAGCCTATACAGCTTGGAGTAAGACAACATGCATGAAGAGGATGATGTGGACAAAATACTCATTTGCCTGATAATTCTACACTCCCTGTATTCTTTGTCAAACTTCTCTTCTGTAAAGAGTGATCAAAATTTCAGAGATTTTATTGGCAACCACATTCATGGAAAGACTCATAACTCATGCAGTTCTCTGTGACATGCTGGTTATCAGCTTCTGCATCCATCAGCCACCCACTTTTTAAGGGTTGATCAGCGATGAAGCTGATCTTTGAGAATGTTTTTAGTGTGGTCCATCCAGGAAAGGATCATCATCAGCCATGATTTGGAAGCAGATATTCAGGATGTCTTATAGAACTGAGGAAATTACGGAGATCAAGGCTGATTTATTTCCAACTTAAACTTGAAACTTGTGAAATGCTTGTGTTTCTTCATTATGTCATAGAAACATGGTTAAAAAAAAAAAAGTTTCCAAAACACAAAATTTGTGCTACTGACAAAACTTTAGAACAGGAAAAGCATGACATTTATGTACCTTTAATCACATAGCTTGGCTGAAAAAAAAAAAAGAAGAGGAGGTATTTCAGTTTTCTGTGGACCAGGAAGTTTTCAAAGGGTTTTCAGGGATTTTTAAAGTCAGCAGCAACACTTTAATGATCCTCAGTTACAACAAATTTAAAAAGCTGTGAGTTCCCCGTGTTCATTCACCCACAACATGACAATGTACCAGTATAAAGTGAATGTTATATGAACACTTTAATGTTTATTCACATATTAGATTTACAGCCGATAGCCGACAGTAACTTATCAACAGCACTGACATTTCACTTTGTACATTTTTAAGCAGTGTAAAATGGATGTGTCAGCTGCATTTTTACTTCACAAATAGATCAATATGGAAGAAAAAGATTTTCTGGGACAAAAATGGTTCTACTATTATGAAAATCTTTTTTTTTTTCCAACACGCTTAGTAGTTTTATATATGAAAAATAAGAAATTGGCTGTCAGTCGTAGCATACACACAGAAATATACATTTGCTGTACACAGTTTGACACATTATACTGATAATAAACATGCTGTATAAATGGATATGAATGTGGGCCTTTAAAAAGTGACACTCCCTCGTGTGCTGTAAAGTTCTCAAGTGTCTCTTGCGTTACTGGACCTTTTTGTCTTTGTCGGCCACCACCTCAGACAGATCCTCTGGTTTTATGGATTTCACTTTGTCCTCCATCGCTGACACTCTTTGCTTCATTCTTTTCGAGTTGAACGTGAACTCCGCCATCAGCTGGGCGAACTTGGTCTGCATGGTGTCCAGATTGCTCTGCAGTTTAACGATCTTCTCCTCTATGTCCTTGGGGTCGGCGCCGGCATTGGCGACCGCCTCGTCGATCAGGTTGTCCTTCATCAGGATAGCTTTCCCCTTCTCTTCTAGAGCCTTCTTGGCATCTGGATACTCGGTGAGGGCTTCCATCAAGTCGTCCTTGGAAAGGGCAAAGAGGTCAGAGTAACCCACACTTCTGATGTTGGCCGTTCTTCTGTTGCCCGCTTTACTGCCCTTGATACCCAAGATGCTGATTTCACCAAAGTACGCGCCATCGCTCAGCACTACAAACTGAGTCACTCCATCGTCAGCCACCACCGCTAGCTTCCCTTCCTTGATGATGTACATCTCCCTGCCAATATCCCCTTTCTTACAGATGTAATCTCCAGGGCTAAACACTTGTGGCTGCAGCTTGAGCACCAGTTCAATCAACAAACCGGCTTCGCAGTCCTGAAAAATCCGCACTTTCTTCAGCGTATCCAAATGGACATTGATGGCAATCTCAGCCTTTAGCTTGTCTGGGAGAGTTTTTAAAACTTCCTTTTCATCGCAGGTTTTCTTCTCAGTCCACAGGTAGTCAAACCACTTGATGACCCTGGCCTCCAGGTCTTTGGTGACCTTTCGAAACTGCATGTACTGCTTTATGGAGTCAATCTTCGCCTGGAACTCAGCGCGAGAGGCGTTCATGTTGGAGATCATAGCGCCAACGTTACCGACAATACTGGCAAAAATCAGCACACCAGTGAGGAAGTCGGCAATAACAAAGAGGTATTCAACATCCCTGACAGGTGCGGGGGTCTCTCCAATAGTGGTGAGGGTCAGTGTGGACCAGTATAGGGAGTAGATGTACTTTCTTGCCAAGCGGCCATGCTCTGGGTGGCTGATATTGGGGTAAACCCAAGTGTCCGACCCAAATCCGATGGTTTTTGAAATGGCAAAGAATAAACAAGCGTTCCAATGGATGATAATAAGAATGTAAAGCACAAGATTGCTGATACGGAACATGTTTGGAAAGCTGGTTCTGGTTTCAGTCCTCTCGAAAAACTCAAAAAGCCTTGGCAGTTTGCAAAGGCGGTTTAATCTGAATTCCGGGTTGTTGATTCCATATTTCAGAAACAGCAGATCAGTGGGTATCATTGCAATCATGTCGTATTTGAATTGAGAAGTTGTTCTGTATTTATCTCTCAGTTTTTTGGAATCTTTTACCAGCAGGCCTTGTTCCAGGTAACCTGAGGGACAAACACCAAATTAGAAGCCAAATCTTGTGCTACAGTACAGCCTAATTGGTGTACAAAAACATCCTTTCTGTAAATGCCGTCAGGAATCTGACCTGTTCTTGCTCTGACAAATGTGTCTGCGTAGTAGATGAGGTCTGTGGTGTAGTCCAGGATTAGCCATAAATGTATATACGACTCCTGGAGTTCATTAAAGCAGGCCCTAAAATACAAGGAGAACAAATAAGTCAATGCTCCTTTAAGTGAATAATTATTAATATGTGAAGGATGCCTACCTCGTTATGACCATCATTAGGTTATAAAACACGGGGCCTGCAATGACGGAGAGCCACCTGTAGTACTGATCTGTAGCGGGATCCATAATCCAGATTTCTTTCCTGAAACCAGCAAAGCATCAGAACGTGTTTAATGTTGCACAGAGATGAAAGTGACAGATGTGGTTTCTGTAGTTAAATTTACCAGCTGCCGCAGACTCTGAATTTAACGGGTACTTACGGTGGCTCTTCTTTCTTTTTATCATCTTTCTTATCATCTTTCTTCTCGTCTTTTTTCTCATCCTTCTTCTCATCTTTTTTCTCATCCTTCTTCTCGTCTTTTTTCTCATCTTTCTTTTCCTCTTCCTTCTTGTCCCCATCCTTCTTCTCTTCATCTTTTTTCTCCTCCTTTTTCTCATCTTTTTTAATCTCCTCTTTTTTGTCCTCTTTTTTGCTACGGATTACAAGTTTAGTGTTTTTATAGTGGTGAAAAAGGACGGAGGTGGTCTATGAAGGACTGCTAGAAGACTAGAAAGCTACCTTGAAAGGAGTCTACAGCGACAATTCATTTGGATTCATGGTGCAGGTCATACGTTTGTCCAGCAGATGGCATCATACTACAGGTAGTCCCTGTTATTTTAAGCACACTTTATGACCTTACAGTTCCTTATGTGAACTTCCCCAAAGTTGGATCAAAATAATCCACATCATGACTTCCAACAAAACCCCTGAGGTGGGTAAAGGGGTGGGAGGCACAGCATAGAGAAGCGGAGGATGAGAAGACATGGTTCAAGGAGTTTGGTGCTAACATAGCTATGCTACGTGCCGTAGCTACAACAAATATCGATAATGTCCACTTCTAAAGGAAACTCTTTTCTATTTTCTGACACACACTTACTCGTCTGTGTTGTTGCAGTTATTCATGTTGTAAGTAGCCAGCGGCCACTTACTGGCAAGGCTTTTGGAAAGAAAGACAATTTTTTTTCTTTTTACTTTCTTTTTGCACGAGGCTTCTCATTCATCACATAAATGTGATATTTTTATGGCAAAACCCCTCTTTTCTTTTAGGTTACACACATTCCTATTGGTTGGGAGGGTGTTCAAAAAAATTGTTTATGATCTATCTTCACCCTGATCTTTGAATGGGGTAAAAGGGAATAGGGAGCTAGCTTTAGGCTATTAGCTTCCCCACTGTTAGCTGTGACATTAACTTTCTTGTTTAAGATATTAAAGCATTGTTTTAACCGTTCATAAAAAAAATAAAAGCTAAATTATACTGTAAATAGTTTGAAATGAGATGCGTGCTTGGGCTCAGGAACACATCTGAAAGCACATCTTTCAATAAACAAATTGCTGTCTTTTCTATAAAGAAAAAAGAACATCCATTTAGAAACTCTGGCCTTCTTTGGGCCTATAAAACTGTTCAGCGATCTAATCAATACAAATTTTAAATTCTTTTTTGGACGTTCCAAGACCACGGGCTCAACCTCGACAGGTATCGGGTCGAGCAACATGCTTTCAGTTTTCAGGTAAAGTTGTGCACATTTCCACAGGAATCTTGAACCACAATGTGGACGTTATTACAGCAACATGGCTCTCCAAGCAAAGAGTCTGTGTGCTAAACGACTAAACATTAGCCACAATATGAAACTTTTTTGGAAACAGGGCCCTGAGTAAAGTGTCCTGTTTGTCCAGTTTTGTGTTAAATCATTCAAACATTAGAAACCATAACTGCTATGACTCGAGAAAACTCTTAAACTGACCACAGCAGCTCTCACCACACCACGCTTACTTTCTCTTACGGACTGCGTCGTGATGCCCCGCAGACTGAGCACTGCTGTGTAGACTGGACGTGTCTTTGAGCTCTGGGCCTCTGAAGCGGTCGAGGAACGAGTCGTGTCTCTCTTGTTCAGGCTTCACTCTGTGAGACGCCCAATTCCGTAGCATGAAGAAGAAGTAAGACAGTCTAGAGAGTCAGCGGGAGGTAAAAACAGCACAAAGTGACACCAGTCTAGGCTAGAAACCATCAACAGTCATGTCAAAGGTAAATACCCACAGTGGAAGAAACATTCAGATCCTTTACTTGGAGGCTATCCGTAAAATAAAGCATCTACCATTAGACACTTGGTTTGTCTGTCAGTGGTTCTCACTCATCCAGGCCATGGTTGTCTAAAGTGCTTGAGTAAAAGGCAGCCAGAGTTCTTTTTAGTTCCTGAAGACCTTTCATCATCTCCAGGACTCAAAACTGACTGGGAGTCCTGGGTATTTAACCTCCTGCTGGGTCTTCACCTTAGAGGGGAAGCCAACACATCAGACATGTCACAGAGAAGACAGCTGGCTTGAGAGAGGAGTAAAGGAGGCCACCTACATCCAACTGCCATAGCTGACCAGAGGTGGTGGTCTATAACACCAACTATCAGCTACTTCAAACTTAGTCCTGAGGTCCCCTTCCAGGTGATCAAACCACCATTCACACCTTCACCTGTGCAACTCTAACAACTCACATGATGGTAGAGTGGAGCAACGTCTGAAGAAGCCCCTCAGACTGAGAGGTGAATTGGAAAGAACTCGGTTTCCTTCGCCTCAAGCACTTCAGACTTTTCAAACTGTGGTTCATGCTCTTTCAGTGTCAGATGATGAATTTCAGTAATTAAGTGAACTTTTATGTTTAGTTTCATTTAGTTTTCAAATCTAAGTTTGGTCTTGTCATATTTCTTTTGGATGAAAATGTTTAGTTTCCATATGTTTCAGTGCCAGTTTTGTTTTCAATTATTCTAATATAATCTCGTCAGTAAATATAACTTATTGTACAAACCAAAATCAGCTGTTTCTGAGGAGCATCATTTGAGAAGTCTTTCTTGGAATAACCCTTTACAGTAGTGACTTTAACTTGGTGAAGTCATTATATCCAAAATATATCAACTTTGCATTAACATTTTTTAGTTATTTATGTTTTTTAATTTCTGGCTAATTTCAAAGTCATAACTCGGGAACAGAAGAGAAAATGTTGACATTTGGTCAAATACCAAATTGGAGACGGCAATAATTGGTGCCCAAACATGAAGCTATTCATTTGTGTGGGCAGATGTGCCTAGAAACGAAAAGACAGACTGGCTGGTGCATGTGTATGTTTGAGGCAGTACTTCTAACTTATCACCACCTGATAACCATTGGTTTGCTCATCAGCAGCATATTGCATTTCAGAATAGCTTAGGAGAAACTTCAGAATCGTTTCTTTCCACCTTTAGTAAATACCGGCTAATTTAAGCACTGCAGCTGGCATTTACCTGGCCATTGCCCCGGCACCTGTAAATGAGTCTCTGTGGGACTCTGAGCGCAGTGCTCTGTCACAGTTGTCCCCACAAAGAGAGTGAACTCTGGAAGACAGCAGGAGGGGAATGATTATATTGACAAGACCTCATAAAACAAGTCAAGATGTCTCATTTCAGTCAGTTAAGGATCCAAAAGTCTCCCAAAAATCAACAGCAAAGCTAACATCAGACCTGCTCTCCCCATTTTCAATAACACCGAGCTCATCGTCATTGGCGGACAGCCGCCTTCTCGCTGAAAAGGAGTTTTCATTGCAGACTTTCGCCATCTTCTCCTGCCTGGCTCTGCGGGCCTGGACACTGGGACACAGAAGAATCAGTGAAATGTGATGGGGTCATACGGGCCTGAAATCAAAGATCAGCAAAACAGTGACTCGTGTGTTAATGTGTTTACCGAACGCCACTCTTCACTGTCTGTCTGAGAGTGGCACCTAAAAATATATCCTGATAATGACCTTAAACACTAAACAGGATCAGTACGCTCTCTCTGTGAACCATCAGCTTGCTTTTAAAATAACTAAGCTATGGCTTACAGGGGCGCTGCAAATGTTCTTTGGTGTGCAGCACGTTAAAGATTTGAACAAGAAGTAGACTACAACTGCAGGAGTGTGTAGAAGCTCTCCAGAATGTTTTGGAATGAATTAGAGAAAAAAAACCTCTTATTTTTATGTTTTTATGACCTCTTTAAAAAGTTATAACCAAAAACAAAAAGAGGGTAACAGGTGTGAGATTAAATCCTTTTTTGGTTTAAATTACTTTGTTGTTATGTATGTTTCTCTGTGTTTATTTTTATTTTTTAGTGATGATGATGGTCAATACTGACTCACTGATCTCTGGGGAACAGCAATGTTTGTAACACGTGCACTCATGTAGATTAGTGCTAATACCAGGGGGTTAAGCAGTCCCCACTTAAATTAAATGACACTGACATTCGCCAAGAAGCCGAGAGCTCCAAGGGTGACGAAAGGTAAAAGCGGCAGGCCGTCTGTGAGTGTGAGTTACATCATATTCTGACACTGTGGTGAACACTGAGGGTCAGAAATCACGTAATGTGTTTTAGGGGATGAGTTTTAATCTGCATTGTCTTGCTTCCATGGTTTCTACTGGGAGTCACCACACAGAGAAGTTTTATATATCAGGAAATTAAATATAAATTAACTAATAAAAATACACCAAATGAAAATAAACTAAACAAAAATAGAAACATAAAAAATACACAGAAATACAAATGCTTGCAAAGTTCTGGAAGGCTATAAAGGATATAAACATCACTTGTAGCTTGAAACTTCCACACTAAAATCCACACTAACCTGCCTGTACCCTCATAAATGTACACAGTCTGACCGAGGTGAAGGAACTCATTGAAATCATACAACGCATACTGATGGGTTGATTTTTTTTATCCCTGCAAAATGGATTGCTCTGCAAGGGTCAAAACAATCTCACGTGTTTCTTTTCATTAAAATATCCCATTCCTTAAGATGCACATGTCTTTATCTTTTACCAAAACCTTTATTAGAACCAAACATAAACCTTTGAAGTTGATTATTTGAGGGTTACAAGTTACACACAAGACAAGATTTAACGGAAAAATTCACTTTGAACTCACTATATCTATTATAACGCCCTGAAATGCTATATGCACAATTGAAATATTTAATGCATTTTTGAAATATATAAACTGGATCTAAAGGTCAAATTATTGGAGATAGAAGAAGGAAAAAGTCACCTGTCTGACGCCTTTTCACGCAGATTTTTGCGAGGCAGCAATTCTCATACGATTCCTCCGATATAATCCCATCTTCCCACGCAGAAAGAAGACTTCTTTCTTTCTTCTTTTAATCCACAGAAATATTTCCAAACGCTCTGACCCGTGAAAAAGTCGCTAAAAATACCGATACCGGCCGTCCATAATTGACCCCTGAGGTTCTGCTGTCCGAAGTCGGCGCACACTGAGCGGGCAGGTCTGAGATGAGAGGAGAGGGGAGGAGTCCCGTGCATCCTCCAGCTGCCATCACTGCTCACGGCAAACACAGTGCTCATGGGCCAGGCAGTGCTCGTAAAAATAGCTGCCAACGTTTTATTGTTTCTATTCTAAATCGTCAGAATTAAAAGTTCGAATTCACAGTAGAAAATTCTCTGTTACTGGTGTGACATACATGTCATCAGTGCTGCTGAAGTTTTGCCTTTGCAGTTTACTGAGCTCAAACATATGGCAAAGTGCCGCACAAACTGATGAACAAATGATCATGATGGTCATGATAAGAAAAAAACAAAACACTGACAGACTGAAACTGGGAGGTCTCCTGCTTTAAAGTCGCTTTTGTTTTTAGCCCATCCACACAGACCTCCTCCTTATGGCATTTTTGTGCTTCACAAATTCCATCACGTTACTTTTCGATGTTGCGATAAAACAGGAATCATTGTATGTGGAGGCATGCATCTCAGGGGAAAAAGCTTATTTCTGTTTTGTAACTTCTTCTTCATTTTAAGAGTAAGGTTATTTGCATTCAGTATCACATTTCAAATTTCAAAGAACGAACATGGCGAAGGTGAAAACATTCAGATCGAGCCTTGGTAAACTTCACTCATCAATAGGTGACATCACAGTAGCTACAATTATCTTTTAAACTATCTATGGCATGCATGCAACCAGTGGTGTGAACCACAGACAAAAACGGACTCGTGTGCTCAGGTAGCGTACAGGTACAGGAATCTAGATGACAGAGAATTAAAGTGAATACTAATGTAGTTTTACTGCTTTTTGCGATGTTTGTCAAATGTAAGAAACAACTGGGTGATCTTAGAGATGATTTAAAATTCCAATAAAATAATAACAAGATTCATCACAGATAAAGATGTTATTGGCGATGGGCTTCATGTGATGACTCCATGGTGACATTATCACAGGGTCCTAGGGGAAGGAGGAAATTTAAAGTAATATCAGTGAAGCAATCGCTGAGGGAGGAGGTGCTACTGAAGGTTTAGCCAAATATTACAGCTGTGAATGCCTACAGAAAAACAGAAGTGGTCCAAGGTCAGAGCCTTGAAGTATCCCCAATGAGAGGAGCAGATATGACTTTCATATGTATACAGAAATGAACAGGGAGTCTGTCACCTGATGAACAATAATGTAGGTGATCAAAGAGAGAGGCATCATTATGCTCACTCTGCCACATAGCCCCGCCTCCACTCATACATCACCTGCACACATAAGGTTAAAAGAAAAATCCCTTGGCAATATACGGAGCTTCAGTTCTAATCCCAGATTAGACTTGAGCACCTATTTCAGCCAGCTAATGCTCCCTTGGGGCAGGGGAACATTTTATCTCCTATGGGAATAATTTAGAGATGACAATGTAATATTACTTTTTTTAAAAACTGACATATGTTTGTGTATTTTAACCAACATGTGACATATGCAGCGAAATTGTATGCGAGTATTTTATTTTTCTGTATTTCAGCTGAGAGAACTATCGGTGTATTGTGTGCTATTTGTGTCTCATCAAAAGCATTTGTGAACTGCCAACACATTTTCAGCCTCTAAAATTATTATTTTTAAATTATAATTCATGTTATTATAATTATTATAAAGTCATCACATTTAGCTTGATTGAACTTGAGATCTTTTAGATTTTAAAGCTGTTTTATTTTTAACTGTTAGTTAACTTAAATATAATTTAACTGTTAAATAATATTTTCATTTGGACAGCAGAGATGAAAAACTTGTGGATTTTGCTGTGTTTCGTCTGCCAGAAGAAACACAGGGATTTAGCTATGTAATAGACTTTGGGATTGTCCTTAGAGTGGCTTTAGGGCAATCCAGATACACAGAACAGGTGATTATGGTGTACAAAGAGGGGTTGGCCAAGTGGGATCATTACTTTCACTAAGTCTCATAGATGACCAAACATAAACTTAGTTTTTTGTTTGATTCCAGTTCAGTGTTGTGGTGAACCGGTCGAGCAGTGACTCTCTCGGTCCGCACGCCTCATTAGGTTTACTGTCCAGGTGCACCGGGATCTGTGAAAAGCGTCTTTAGTTCTCTGCCAGGAGGCACATGGTAATTACTGCATGCTAAACCCTGTCAGAGTGCAATTGTCTCTTGCATGTTGGCTTGACTGTGCATTTCCAAGTCAATCAGACAGGCATCAAATTCATTTACAGCCCTCAGCCAGTCATCGACGAGCTGAATATAAACTGAGGTGAACAGTCTCTAATCAGACCTGATTACCAGCTGGCAGCACGCTCGCTCTGAGCTAAACAAGAAGAGGGGAACAGTCCCAAATAAAGAGGATCAGATGACCCGTGGAGAGTGGTGCAGCCAAACTGCTGGTATACAGCAGCTTTTGTTAGGCTGACCTAAAGCCTGACCAGGACCATCAGCTTCCATCAACATCTTCATGTCCCAGATTGATTCATTTCACCTGATTTTAAGTGCTTCTCATTATAAAAACATGAAACTCAGCAAAGAAACTGGTCGGTCCTCTGACCATTTTCAATGGAATGTCTTTTATTTGCAAACTCATTTAAACAATGACCTAAGCAAACATGAAAAGGGACCAAACTCAAGGAATAAACAAATGTTGTTTTTACGCAGAACATCTAATTTAGCAACGAACCCATTTTAAATGGTATCTTCTGGCACTTTGTTACTAGCAGCATGTCACAAAAACACAACACACATTTGTTTCCATTTCTTGTGGCTCGTTTTGTGTCCTTATCCATTTTAAACCACATGAAGCCATTTTTATGGCCTCCACTGCCATTAGTTATTTTACTATGTTTTGCATTATCGTCCCATTACTTCAGTTATTTTAACGAATACAGTTGCATACGCTCCAGGCCTGAGAGGGTGTGTGCAGCATCCTCAGGCTGCTACAGATGGGAGCTTCCTGCTTTTCTTTATGAAAAGATACAGTAAAGCCTGAGCCAATATCTAACTCCATATCAAGGTTCATTTGTTCTCCTGAAACAGCTCCATGGATGCATTTGTTTTTAATTCACATGTACCTTGTACTTGTTAAGTTACTCTCCATTCTTTCCATTTACCAGCTGCCATTCGGCAGCCCAGCCCAGCACAGCCCAGACCTTTTTCTCAAGGTTTTCTTATCTGCTGTCCACATTAAATAGACTATGAATAAATCTCAGCACATACTAATTGAAAATACGTGAGTTTGAATGAACAGTATCACTGAAGAATGAAGCTGAGGACCGTTAGCCTGAGTTCGGGGCCTGCAACAGGATAACAAGATTAGGCTAATATAAAGAAACCGAAGGACAGCAGCCCCCTGAGGCTATTCTTGAGCTAAATGGTGCTTTTCATGTTAAACATGCTGATGTGTTTGGGTTTATTGCCATATAAAACCATCATATATACTGAGCAAATTACAATATAGCTGAAGATTATGAGTGTTTTTATCTATTAGGTTAAATGTTGAACAAATTTGACCAAAAGATGGCAGCAAGTTAAAAACTGTGGATCAGATTGATATTTTTGTCTTCAGTCTACGCAATAGATCCCCACACCAAAACCAGACATCCACCACTGCCGCTGTATGGTTTGCTGAGTCCCAATGTTTCCACCAGTGCTTCTCCAGCTACTTCTAATTCCCCTGTTTGTTTGTTTTTAACCTACTGGAAGAGAATGGGTGATTTGGTGTTTTGGTGGTAAAATGGTGCAGAGATGTCACCGCCAAAACAGCAGCACAAGTATAACTGCTAGCATCTGCAATGTCCACCTACTCGGGTGTTAAATTAAACACAAATGCACAAATTAAGACTCATAAAATAGAGAGAGTTTTTTGCAATGCTCTGCATGTACACATATATACAAATCTTATCAAACTACTGGGTATATTTACTTATTATGGCACAAGCATAAACTTCAGAAAGGAAAAACAAAAAAATGAGCAACATTTTGTGGGATTACAAGGTTCTACTAAGATTTAGACTAAATGAAGTCCGCCTTCCTTTGATTCGTCGCCCATCTGCATACAATAAGCAGGGCCTCAGATGTGTCACGGCAGCCGATATCAGCTCAAGTGTCCGTGGCGCTGCCGTGGGTCCTCTTGTTCTGATTAGCTGCAGCCTGTTTATCAGTTGCTGGAGATAAGTACTTTCACTCATCTGTATTTCATACCAAACAGAGGAGATGATTTATCCTCCTCCAAGCACTTAGCCTACACAGAGTTTCTATGACAACCTGAAGGAAACTTGTGTGGGCCTTTAGGGCTGCATTAATAAGTACAGCTGCACATTGCTGTGGAAATGCAGATTAACAGAATTCAGAGGCAGCACAGAGACCTTCCTGACCCTCTGACCTTCTCTCAGGAGACTTTCAGTTGTAAATAGTAATTCTAAGAGGTAATACAAAAGAAAAATAGTATGGAGAGGGCATCATGCCTTTACATTTTCTAAAATGTGCTGATCCTCTTTGAAGCTCTCTGATCACCAAATCACACCAACAGTCAACTCGAGTGGCTTTATATTGTAAAGGAAAGACCCTCAGAGAAGCCCAGAAGAGAAACCACTTGGCGACAGTGGGAAGGAAAAACTCTCTTTTAACAGGAAGAAGCCTCTAGCAGAACCAAGCCTCAAGGAAGTTAAAGATGCTGTTTTATAATCCACTCATAATCAGTTATTTTACCTGTGCCCCAATCAGCTGCTGTTTATTCAGTTTGCACTCACAATCAGTGGACCACACAAGTGTTTGTGTACGTGATTCACATCAAAATCACAAGAGAATTTCATTCATTGAGCTCCTTGACAACACTGATTTCACAAACAGAGAATGAAGACTTCGGTCTAAAAAATCTAAAGAACGTTTTGCAATCATGTCAACATGAACTAGAAAGTCACAGGAATGAATGCATCCTGAACAGGAAGACTGGAGGGTGTTTGAGGGAAAGGGAAGGCACTTCATGATGTGGCTTTTGCTGCATGAGTGTACGTGCCGTAATTGCAACAGTGTGCCATGTTCCGATGGCTGCTTCCAGCAAGATAACAGACCG